ATTAATAATCAATGCATTTGTGTTTTGCGAAGAAAATAAATGTAAAAAAAAAAAAATATACATATGCAAAAAAAATTATTGAAATTCATTTCTTCATAATTTAGTGCAAATAAAAGGGGGACCAATAATTAGATACCTACACAAATTTGGCTGCGAAAGTCGTTGATCAAAAGCAAATTAGCTTTCAAGTAACTGAAATAAATAGAAATAAAAACTGGCTTCATTTCAAATTGACTGAATCAAAGAAGAATCTGCAAACATTTATATAAACGATAATACTGGTCGACAAGAAATCCGGCCTGTGGTATTTTAACATCATTTCTTCTGTTTTTTTTGTCTTATTTTATTTATAGAATATTATATTTTGACGCCTAATAAAGAAAACTGACCTGTCCGATTGGTTGTCGATAAAGCAATGTTATGTTGTTAGCATAAATGATAGCAAATTTAATAGGATTTAGTAATGTAACACAAAGTTGCAATTAAGTTAGAGCATTTTTTTCAGATCTCAAAAAAAAAACTAAATTGCTATTTCTTAAAAACTGTTCTACTTTCTTTTATTCGGATTCAATGAAAAATTTTACATTAGAATTCATATAAAAATGTCGCAGGTAGTAACATTTTTTTTTGTAAACTTTTGCAATTAAAAAATAAAAGCAAAAATAATAAAAAATAAAAACAAAACGTACATCATCAAAAAAAAAACAAAACAAATTAGTTCGCGTGTTTTTTTATTATGCCACTCCTACTTCGTCACTTCTACTAAGTCTCTTAGAAGACACACAAGTGTGTATCTTTCAGTAAATTGGGTCAGAGTTTAACTAGTTTCCATCCTCCACCTACGCATAAAACTAAGCCGCGCTTGGCTCATCCGAAACACTTAAATAATATCCTTGGTATATACGGTGGCGAGAATATACATTTTTTTGTTGTTGTTTATTGAATGTTTTTTTTTTTTAAATGAAAATATAGCTCGTTTTCTAACAAAAGCCGTATAAGTGCGAATTTAAAACTTTGTACAGAAA